ATAGCTCTAATCGCAAATTTCTAGCATTCACCATCCGTTGACGCTTGACCATGTGCGAAAGGCCAACATTCAGAAAGCGTAAATATGTTCGTGGAGATCGCAGCAGAAAGCATAAATGACTGACTTACGAGATTAGTCTTCCAGGGGTTCCAGGCCAAAAATGTACAACAACGATTTGAGCGCGAAACTGAAATAAAAAATATAGATAGAAATTACAACTTACTCAAATCTTTGTTGTTCAGACAAAATTGATCCTGTTGTGGAACTATATCTTCAAGGCTGCAAATACTTTAGAATGAAAGAAGATGCCAACCTTTTCAATTTTATATCGCCCAATCCACTTCCCAGGGCCACAAGACAACTAGGACTAACAGGATTATGGTGTTTTGCGTTTAGACAGGGTTGCCACGCGCATGCCTAGAGAAGCTAGAGAAAGACAACTCTGGATACTTTTATTCCTTCGAGCTTTTTATGGACACTGAGCAATTGTAGCAGAAATTTACATTTGTTTCCTATCACAGATCCTAAACCAATTAAATTATTTTAATTGGCAAGATCAACCATGATCAGCTGGTAGTACACTCAGGTAATCCAAATCATTTACGTGAAAGAGAAACAAATTGCTTTGACAGAAGACGAAAAATCGATTGTCATGATTGGGTGACCAAGAAAGTTCCGTAAGATTCATCCCTCACAAGCGCATCTCATTTACGAATAACTTTGTCTCATTCACCAATTATCCGGCTCAATGAAACAACTATATAGATTTTGAGACTGCCAGCATAAAAAGCACGAACTTTGTGAGTGATTCAATCGTTTCTCAACATTTTATAACTATGCAGTCGTAAGTTTACCCAATGTAGGGAACAATTTAGACGGACTAATATCTGACCAAACATGCTGCAGCTAAAAGACTGTCCGTACCACTTTAGAATCACCTAACATAAAAAAACAGGTAAAAATAGTATCGAAAGATGAAAAACTGATTGCATGAAAAATAAATAGGTCGAATATGTGAAAAAACTATCGGGAGTACCGTAAACTATGAAATATGTAGACGAAGTAAGCGAGTATGTTTACTTGAGAGCGGCATTTAGCAGCCTGGAGTTGCATTTGTGGGAGCCTGCCTCGCTGACTCACGCTGTCTGCCTTTGTTCGCCACGAA